ATTAAAGTTGCAATCTCATTGTCCGCGAGTGCATGTAGTGAAATGAATTAAAGAACAGACTCGTTAATCGCGGACACACTAATAAAGGGCACACAAATATACGGATAGGCACAGTAATAGGAGGGCCCTTAATATGGCCATCGCGCCGTGAAGGGGCACACTAATAGGGACAAAAACATTGTTTTTATTTTTATTAAAATATATTAAAATATTAATATTTTTTACAGAAAAAAAATTTCATTAAAAAAAGAAATATTTGAAAAATCGATAGTAACTTTAAACAGACAAATTAAAAGCTATAGTATTTAGTAATTAATTCAGTAATAAAAATGTATACATTATGTAATTTTTGTTTATAATAAATAATTTTATATGCAATTTTGGTTTCTATTTTTATATAATATGTTTAAAAATGGACTGTTAGGAGTCGGCACGGTAAATAGTGCGCAAATACATATATGAACGGCTTGTATTAGACAATAATATAATTCACTTAACTAATACATAACTTCTTTCAAACGTTTCGGCTCTATTTGAGCTATTTTCAGTGTAACACCATTCAAGTACTTCAGCGTGCATTTACCGTCGTTCGAAACTGAGGATGTCCATCGTGGATGCCAGTTCTCATGATTAAAAGCTCCAAAAGCCGGTTGATTAGCCGGATGGGAGACTCAGGATCGCACACCGGATAAAACATTTCCCCATATGACATAAAGTCAAGTCGAGTACACAACAAGTCACGCGAATAAAGTTTAAAACTATAAATTAGATTGAAAGAATTAAAAACTTGTAAAATTAGATTCAAGTATATCATTCTGGCCGGAGCACATCTTCTTTACGAAGTCACAAGTAAAAGTGACTTTATCCGGTGTGCGATCCTGAGTCTCCCATCTAGCTAATCAACCGGCTTTTGGAGCTTTTAATCATGAGAATTGGCATCCACAATGGACATCCTCAGTTTGTTACTAAATGCGCCTTTAAACTCGCAAATAATGTATTGAATTAATTAATTACTATGTAACGCGTCCTACTCAAGTGTCGATTTGTATAACTCTTTAATTAAAATACTCTCGAGAATTCTTAAACTATCGTAATAAATTCCGCTTTAAAACCTCTATTAACATATCTCTGTAATTGTGTCTAAAACCAAGCCTTCGCTTGTTTACTCTTCGCGCGCTCGTGGACACTTTCTCTCGTGCAAATAAAGATCTTCGACAACGATCATAAGCGTACATAAGATCTTTATTTGCACGAGAGAAAGTGTCCACGAGCGCGCGAAGAGTAAACAAGCGAAGGCTTGGTTTTAGACACAATTGCAGAGATATGTTAACAGAGGTTTTAAAGTGGAATTTATTACGATAGTTTAAGAATTCTCGAGAGTATTTTAATCCTGTATTAACCCTGTACATAAATACACGACATTGATTTGTAAGCTAACCGAAATCGATTCCGTCCAATCCGAAACGTTCCTCCCGTAATCGTCATCGCATGTACGACGAGGTATATATATTCGCAGCGCTCGTTTTTCAGAAGAGTCGTCTCTCAGATCTTTTCGCGTCTAGTATCCTCGATCGTGAGCTTGAGTAATCGCCAATTATTTGTTAAATTGAACAACTCAAGTGTTAATTTTAAAAGCTCTTGCATTAACAGTAAATTAAATTGATGCCATTATTTGACAAAACGGAATTAAATTTATTAAATCTCCATCTAATCCCGAACAAAGTTAAATTTCGAGAACTCGCAGCTGCTTAATTTGAATAGTGAGAAATTTATTAATAAATAAAGAAAGAGAAGAAGAAGAGAGCGAGGAAAGTAACAAGAGAGTGACGGCGCGACGGTGAGAATAGAGAATCTAAACAAATTCGCCGCAGAGCGTATCACGACGTGATAACACGGACTGAAACTAAAAACATGTGCTCTGGTTCTCCTGAAACGGAGATTTATCAATAGCCGCAATACTCTCCCGGATTTATATAAAAATTAGTATTTTAGTTAAGTTAGCTAGATCAACCCGTAGATTTTATTCTCCTCCTCCTTCTCCCCGACCAAATTGTGTAAATAAATCATGTAAAAAAAATATGTAATATTATTGTAAAAATTAAGTTTATTAGTTTTGCATTGTAAGTAGCTAATAAGGGCCGGTTCTAATTCGGGAGCTCCGAAAGTGGAGCGTGGTAGGGGGGTCCCGCGGCGCGGGGGTACCCGCGGGGAGGGAGAAACCGCTTAAGTGACTCTCCGGTCACGTCGTAGGTCAGGGATCGGGGAGGGGGGAACCGCCTTGGAGGGTACCCCGGCAGATCTTACCATGGTGGAAAGAAACAAGGTGAACCATTCCGGTGGATGCGCAGTCGTTCAAAAGTAGTGGAGAGCAATGAACCAATCAGCTTTTCCCCAAGATGCAAAATTTAGTATGGCCGACATTGCGAGCGTGTTTTAATTGACAACTAAAATTGACAAAGTGTAGTGAAGTCAATATGCCAAGTTGTTTCATAAAGAACTGTAAAAGTCACACAAATTATGTGTTTAATAAGTGCGTGAAATACTTTTCATTCCCTCAAGATCCGGAGTTACGATTGAAGTGGTTGGAGGCTTGTCGCAGAGATGGCAATTTTAAGGTTACGCATGGTAAATAAATATCATTTTTATTAATTCAAAAATTATTGAAATTAAATTATATATCGTAAAAAATATAATTATATTTGCTTATATTTGCTTTGTTTTGTTCATATGTTTTAGTAAAAGTATACGAATCGTTAACATCTTATGTAAGAAAATTAAAAAATATAATATTTATATTACTTTCAGAACGAGTATGTGAGATACACTTTTCTTCCGATTGTATAGAATATCGAACGTCCAAACCTCGTTCTGCACATATTTCACCGAAAATCGTACGCACATTGAAGAAAGGATCGGTACCGACAGAATTGCTCGATTTGCCAAATAAAAAACGAAAGCTGTTGCATTCATTTGAGTCAACTTGTAATGTTGATGCAGGACCTTCACAAAAATCTGTTTGGTAAGAATAAAAATAATGTTTGTTATGGCTGTAATACAGGTCAAGATTTTTACATAATGTCATATGGAAGCATAATCGTAAGATTTATCTTGTAGCCAATGCACTATACAAGTAATGCTTTGTTTAGTGCGTTTAATTTAGTCAGAGTAATGACGAATAATTTTAATATATTATCTATATTAAATATAATTGTTTATGATGATTACAGTACTGGAATACCAACATACGCAGAACTGATTGATTGTACGAAAGACCGGAAGAGCACACGTCTG